AGATGCACAGAGGTACAGAATCAGAGGAGCCTTGAAAGGGGGTCAAGGAATATAATGTACAACATGAACTTCAGGGTAATACAGAATCAAACAGACTTAGGATAGCCAACTACTTTACACAGGAAGGTGCATGCCAGGGATAAGAGAAACATAGTCACATTGGGGTACACTAGAAAAGGGATTCAAGAGCAGGCTAATCCTAAGGGGGTATATTCAGAAGAATGCAGTAAAGAAGACAGTGAAGTAGATATGTTAATTGCNAATCAATTGTTCAACAATTATAGAACTACAAGAATCAAATTAAGAACGAAAAATCAGCCAAAGTACTCCCTTAACTAAGGGAGTAATTTTACCAACGGTTAGAAAGTAGGTAACTAATAAGGTAAATGATTCAAGCAACATAGGTACAGATCATGTAATTAGGGATAGATACATAAGGGTCTAATTAAGGAAATAGCAGTAGGAATCAATTAATAATATAGTCAGCCATGTAATAAGACAAGAAGTAAGCTAAAGTCGAAAATCAGTAAAGGATATTACCATAGGAAATCAATAAAGGGTACCAATCACAGAAAATTAGGGATTCAACTAGAAGTAGTACTGATTAGAGGAAATTACCACAAATCCCTGTCAATAGACAATGTAAACATAATATAGGCGGGAGAAGCAAAATCAGAAACTCTAATGAGCATAAGGGGGGTGGGGGTAGGAAATCACAGGGACTCAAAACATATGCAATGAGAAACAGACATACGCACAAATCAGACGAGCAAATAAGCAAAGACAGTCTCAGAACCCAAGATTGAAATAAAAAATTAGGGTTCTTAACATAGTTAATCAGATAAAAGGAGAAGGTTAAATAAACCGTTTAAACATAGTAAAAGTCATAGATTAATTACCAAAATCAGAAGAAAAAGCGTTTTAAAAAAGGGTAAGAAACCCTAGTTTGAAGACGAAGAGTCGTTTTAGAAGAAATCGGAGAAATCCTTAAGAAAACAGTAATGACAACTCGAATAGGATCAGATCTTGTTACAGATCTTAGAAATCAAGAGTCAAAATCAGGGTTTCAGAGAGAGAACCCAAGAGAGAGAGAATCGGCTCACAAATCACAAGTTCTAGCCGGAGACGGCAGGATTTTTACTCGGACAGGCCAAGATTGGCCTGAGAATGACATGAAAAACCATGGGGGTGAGTTGAACTGCCTCTGGTTCCTTGAGGACCTTAGGGTAGCAATAATGCGCATGGGGGAGCCATGAAGGCTAGGGGTGGTGGTGGAACCGCCATTGTTACCGGCGAGCCAACGGCCGGTGAGAGGAACCATGGTTTAGCAGAGGGAGCTTGAGAGAATTTTAGAGGAGAATGGGGAGGTGTGTCGGCGGAGAGTGATGAAGAATGAGAGAAGGGGGGGGGGTAGTCTATTAGGTTAAATTAGGAAAGGGGATCTGGACCGTTGATTAGAATTATCAACGATCCAGATTGGACCAGGGATTGGGTCGGGTAGGATTGATGGATTGGGCCTGGGGTTTGGGCTGTTTTAATTGGGTTGGGGTCTGATTTAATTAGGATAAAATTGAATGAAATTGGCTATTTGTTAAATACCAAATAAAATTAAATAAAACAATTTACAAAAATAGCTGATAATTGTACAAAATGAATTTTATGCATAGAAAATAATTAAAAATGATTATTTAATATTTTAAAATACAAATGATTAATTTCTGGTCAAGAATAGTATAAAATCATATAGCTTGGGCTATAATTGCAAAGTTATTGCAATTGTAGCCAAATGATGCCAATTTGGCTAATTATGAAATAATTTGGTTTAAATAGGACCATAAATAATAAATTAAATCAAGAGATGCTTTTGAAATCGATTGTGATGCAATTCTTGTAATTATTTATTGGGAATAAAATGCTGGGTAAATTAATAAAATATATAAAAAATTATGAAAAATACCAATTGCTATTGATGCATGATTTTGAAGGTATATATGCAATTTTAAAAATATTTTGGGGAAAAATTGGGTATCAACATGCATATCAAACCCTCAAAGGGTATATTACCTTATAAGCTCGGTGTGTTCTCGATGAGCCTTTGCCAACTCAATTCGGAGATCCATGACCTCCTCCTCTTTCTGTACGTAAAGGCGCTTAAGGCCATCCCTCTCTTCCATGAGCTTCTTAAGCTCGGCCTCACATCGATCAAGCTCGGTTCGAGACTTGGAAAACGCTTCTCGATGGAGCGTTATAGCCTTCACAAAAGGGAAAAGTTAGACCCAAAACAACAACGGATAAAGCGCATGACATAATGTTAAGGGAAGAAACTTACTTGTTTGAAAAGCCGCTGGGCCTCATCAAAAATAAATAAAGCATCTGGGTCGGGACCATCTTCGACCCCTGCAAGGCACTCTCGAAAGATATCATTCCCTTCGTGGCTCGTTCCTACGTCGGGAGTTCTAATGTTTCGGGCATCTCGGAATTGCCCCTCGGAGAACTCAGGACCAGACGGCGATTCATCCACATTGATTATCCCAAGTGACCCACTAGGGACATTCTCTTCTCTTTGGAGGGCCTCGGAACCGGGCCCCTCGGTCTCGCCCTCCAAATGACCTCCAAGACGAGGTGCTCTTTTGCTATCCGATGGCTCGGGGACTTTGCTCGAACTCCCCTCTGAGATTTCCTCAGTTCGAGAATGAACCACATCATCCACCATCGGTTCAGCGGTCTTTGAAACGTTAGTACTTCCTCTTTTCTGAACTGCCAACAGGCAGTCGTCATCTTCCCCCTCTTCATCCTCATCCCGAAGGCGTTGGGCCATTTCTGGAGACAGGGCCACGGTATCAGCCTTAGGCTTTTGAGCCTTGCTTTTCTTTGGCTTCAGGGAATTTGCAGGCGACCCCCTCTTTCTTTTCTTTTCCTTGGAGGGCTTTGGGATTTCTTCTTCACTGGGCGGGGGCGGCCGCATACCAACGGCGTCTTCGAGGCTTGCATAAAGATAAAGTAAGTATTTCACTTAGAAACATAAGTATGCAAACAAAAGAACTCACCATGGTTTTTAGCCTCCCATCGACCCTTGGCTAGGTCACGCCAGCTGCGTTCCGCGTATGAAGAAGTAGAGGCCAGTTGCCGAACCCAACCTTCGAGTTCTGGGACCGCACCAGGAAACCAAGCAACAGCTACACCATTAGAAAGGTATTATATCGAGAAAAGGATAAGGTCGAGAAAGAGTATGGAAAGCAGAATATAATGTCACTACCGATAAACCTGTACTTACGTTTAATGTTCCATTCCTTGGGGAATGGCATCCTCTCAGCAGGAATAAGGTCGGAGGTCCTGATTCGGACAAACCGGCTCATCCATCCTCAATCCTTGTCCTTATCGATGATGGAGAAGAGAGATTTCGTGGATCGGCGTTGCAGCTTTATCAGACAACCTCGATAGAGGCGAGGGCTGTATAGCCTGATCAGGTGGTCGAGGGTAAAAGGCATCCCCTCGACCAAGCTCGAGAAATATCTAATTAGGTTGAAGATGCGCCAGAATGAAGGGTAGATCTGGCCAAGCTTCACCTGGTATTGTTGGCAAAAATCAAGAATCACTGGGTCTATGGGACCCAGAGCTGGATCTACAAGACCCGACGTGAATGGGTAGGTATACACGCTTAAGTACCCTGCCTTATGAGTAGTGATGTCCTCTTCAGGGGAAGAGATCACTACATCTTTGTTCTTCCAGTTGCAGTCCTTTTTCACATTCTCGAGCTCATTTTCAGTAATCAAGCAGATGTATCGGGACATGGGTTCACATAGGCCTGGTGTCGATGTAGGTTTATCGACTTTGAAATCGGAAGTTAGTTCGCACGGCGGAGGAATACACTCCTCGATACGAGGTGGCACCACCGCTCTACCTCTGGCCGGCCGCGACGAAGAAGAAGCTTTTTCCTTCTAAGGGACAGTTTTAGATGTTTTAGCCATTGCGGTTTGTAAATTCAAGAGAAGAGAAGAAGTAGATGTTGTAGTAAGAGCAAATTGAGAGAAGGGTGAACTCAAAGAAGTTGAAGAAGTTAAAGGGATTTTCAGAATGATTTGAGAAGTAAAGTTTGCAAAAATCGTGAAGTTGTCCTATTTATAGAAGCCGCTTAAGCGTGTTGGGGAAGCCAAACAGCCGACCATCAGCCGCCTCCAATTAATGACCTTGGGTACTATGCGAAAATGACTTTTCAATCACTTCAGCCGCTGACATCACGAGATTGACATCATGATCAAGGCATCGGAACATCGAAGATCAAACGGTTTCTTATCGTCTTACTCTAAGAAATGCGGGGACTATCTATATACGGTCGAAATCAGGTATGCCCGATTTCTTAGGCTCGAGGGATCGCCATAAGCCCGAATTCAGGGCGGATCGAGTTTGAAGCTTGATGAACCAGGCTTAAGCTCGATGACAGAATACAAGGCTCGACGAATTAAGTGTTCGAGGAACGTCGGGGCTCGATTCTGACTAGGCCTCGAGATAATGCCGTTATGGATTTGTAACAGAATGAGCAAGGTTCTTGCCACGTCGCCAAAATCATGGCGTAAATTCCGGAATAAATTTGTACGTACTAGGCGGTTAGACAGCTATCCCAATAAGATTCTTTACTATAAATAGAATTGTACTTTATTTAGGGTTCCCCTATTATATAAAGGGGACCCCAATCATTTGTAAATATCATCTAGTCATTGGCAAAGAATATACTCTCTTACTTTAGCTTTATTATTCTTGCTTTATTGTTCTTGATCCGTCTCGAGGTCACTGGGCTCGAGGTCGATACTGCCTAGTAACACTGGTTTGATTTACTCATTTCTTTCAGTTATACGTTATTCTTCTTGATTATTAATTGGTATTGAACTAAATCACATATCTTTAAAACCACAAATCAAATTTAATTGTTACTTGTATTTTCGAGGTAAATAACAATACCTGTACCTTACAAGAAAAAGAATAGAAACAATCGGAGAGAGTGCGAGAGTAAAAGGACACCATTGCCCAATTCTTCCCAATTCGCCACAAATAGCGCATCCGTAACTTACAGGATAAGAAAAGAATTAAACAATCAAGAAGAAACAAAAAAGGAAAAAACAATCAAAAGACTTTTTTGGACCAGTTCACTTCAATTCCCAACTTAATAAAAAAAACCGAAGAAAAAGTGGTATGGCACTACACTAATATTAAAACTTGAAAGAAAGTCAGGACTGGCTCTCCAGCAGCAATCATTGACTTCTCAAATCTTCCCCCGTGGAAGTTGGAATATTGGAAGTTGGTGGAGCTTCATGATCTGCTGCCACTTGGGGTGCAATGGAAGCAAGAGCTGTCACTGAGGAGCTGCGTGATAAGGGTACTTCCGAGGGAGTACATGGGGATGCAGGTGCTGGAGGGGAAGTTGAAAGCATCCTTGAGACGGCAGGTATAGGATACACTTCTGTTACTTCTTCTATGCCCTCATCCAGATACACAATATCTTGCATGGTTAATTGGTGGTACTCCACAATCTCTCTTAAGAAGCGATTCTCACGAGCATACACGGAATTCTCATGTGCTAGACGAGCCTTCTCTGCTAATAGTGTCTCAAGTTGAAGGCGTATCTGAAATTTCATATAATAGATAAGCATTAGTTCTTCACCACGCACGGAGTTTAAGGGCTTCAAATGTTGAAATGGAAGGGATAAAGGCACTGTGTAGGTCGTTATGCCACTTCATCTCCTCTATGCAACTGCCCCGCGGCAGTGGCGGAACCAGACTTTTCACTAAGGAAATTCAAAATATAAAAGACTAAACACACAGAAAGCTAATGGTATTCAACATATATTATATATACATAAAAAGTAATTTTGACCTTGTATGTACAGTGTAATTTTCTGACGAAGATGGTTCAGACCCCCTTGCAACCCCCTATTTCCCCGACCCTTCCCAATGACGTAACATATGATATACTAGCAGAAAAGAATACATACATGACTAAAGTCACTAGTAATATAACCATACTGTATCCAATTAGCAAAGTTGGTTTAAGATAATGCTTAGATTTCTTATGCAAAAGAAACTCAATCTCTAAGACAAACTTTTCCAGACTGTATCCACTGCATCAGGCTGCCCCAGATGACTTAAGAAGGAAGAAGAAGACGTACTATCAAAAGAATGTATAATACAGGAAAACCATATTACAATTGTGCAAGTAGGTGGAGGATTACCATGTCATCATCTGCAGGATTGTCTCCCTTTTCACAAGACTCTCGAAGGACTTTATTTTCTTCTTCCAGCTGAGAACACCTTAGTTTTGCGAAAGCAAGATCTGCTTTAACAGTTTTCAACTCTCGTAAAAGAAGCTTGGCTTTGGCAGCAGTTGCCATTGCCACCTGAAACCCAAAAGACAGGCCAATAATGCACTTCACTAGTAAGGATATAATACCAAAGGAAGTTCATAGTAAACCCACACAAGAATTCAGAACAATGAGAGCTCTGTGAACCTGTGTTCTACCATTTAGAGTAACGACGAGATCTCGTTCTGTCAAGTACACTGTTGGTATTGAAGGTAATCAGATGAACTACTGCTAACATACGAATGTAAAAATGTGTTGTCCGAGATTAATAATTGTATTAATGTACTTTGCTCGGATAATGTCTTTAAAGCTCCTCATGCTTCAAAATGTAAAAAGAAAGAAATCTTTTCTCATAATTGTTGCGGTTACAGCAACTATTGCATTATTTAGTCATTCAGACAGGATGTTGCCACTTGCCAAAACTACAACGTAATGTTGCAGTTACTTCAGATTTTGAACAGCAGTTGTGAAGTAGACTTGAAATTCTTAAAAGCATTCTCTCTGGAAAATTAAGGCCTTAGTACCACATGAGCAAGAAATACAGAATAACAAGTTGCCAACTCACATCACGAGATGCCTTTAGTTGATCTTCATGATTGGTTTGTGTATGTGGCTGAGTCGTTTGCCTTGAGGATTGCTGCCATGCGCTATGTAGACTAGAAACATGATTTTGTTCCTCAAAGTTGGTACCTTTTCTCCTGATCTGCAGTTTGCGCGTCTCTTGAATAATATCAGCAGTCTTGTTCTCAACAATTGTACGTCCCTCCTGAGAATCAAGAAAAACTTATGTTGAAGCAGCACGTACCTGATTAGGAAATCACATAAACTATAAGCTATTCTCATGAAAATCAACTAGCTTCATATAACAAATTGAGCCATGTGTTAGGTGTTTGTCCTCATTTTCTTACCATATTTGGTTTTCCTATTCCTCGAAGGAAGAGCAACATATTTACCATAATTGATTTTACCTTTTACGAAAAGGAAAATACAATTCTTTCATATTTGGCTAGTCTTTTTTATTGGAGGAAGTTTGGACCTCCATAAATTGAGGATTCTTACTTCTCATTTAGTAGCATCCACAATGTAGTCCCTAACGGGTTTGAGAGTCTTCTTTAGGGGGAGAATTTGTGAGACAAGTGTTATGCTGTCACTTGTCTATGCCTCTTTGTGAGATTGTTCTCTCGATATTTTGTACTCTCTTCTATTTGCTCATCTCCGCATGTGGACGTTGTTCGATTGACCGAACTACGTTAAATGTTTGTTTGTCTTTTGGTATATTTCTCTTTTGTTACCTGATTTATCGTCATTAAAGGTATGTTTGTTTGCTTTCGCATGACACCTGATTATTTTGGTCCTAATACCATGATCCTCATTCTTAGGCACAATAGAGTAGCAAGAGATGATATAATTTCCAATGAACAGTTCTCTTTTACATTAAACACATACATTATGGATATGAGGGATTATGAATATGAAATTAGAAAAGAGCCTTGCACGGACAAAAATCTATTCGTGTCGGTCATTCAATGTTAATATGTTATACAGTCTAATAACTTTCAGCTTAATATGTCATAGATAACTGTATCAACTGGAAAACATTTGAAACAGATAAAAGATTTTCAGGAAAATATAAATTAGAGTAGGAGTCATGTCAGACAATTAAATGAACATGGGAAATACCCCTAGTTAACAAATTTCAAAAGCTAGCCCCGGGAGCTGCTTCAAAAAGAAAAGAATGCACTTATACCTCCAATGCATTCCCGATGGTATCACCAATGTGGTTCAAAGATGATGTGAGTGCATCCAGGCCCTTACGCAGTTTAGGATTGTCCACTTTTCTGGAAACATTTGGGTTCTGATATTGCTGATAATACTGGATATTGAGAAGGATATGGGGAAGTTAGATAAAAAGCTCATAATACAAGCATGAAGTGTCATAGAAGCACTTCCTTGCATAAACAGAAGAACGAAGGTTTTGAAAATGGGGATAAAATGAGAGAATAGTTGTAGTTATATTCCTGCTTGAGCTTATGCTTGTTTATTAACAGAAGAAAAGAGAGGAGTCAATTATCACCTGGGTTTCTTTAAGGGTGCTGCTGGCTGGAGCTTCGAATTGCTGGGAAATATTGTCATCGTCAAGAATTGCTTTAGCTTTTCTAGCCAGAACACCCCAAAAACCACCTGCTTCATTGGAACTTGACAGTGATGTATATTCATAGGAAGCAGCAGCCTGGTTCCAAAGTAAATTTCACGAGAATATCAGCACTAAGAAAGTAGTTATGCTAAACCATGGGGCACAGCGAAGTCAATGCCCACTATTCAAATTACATGTCGAGTTCAAATTAAAAATCAGAACATGTACTGGTAAGAGATAGTTTAATTAGTTAATGAACAAACGAGACCCAAACTCAAATTAATTGAGATCTGCTGTACGAATATTTTGTAATTCCAATCAATCAGGTGCATTTCATGCCAATACTAAGTAACTCTGCTAAAAAAAAACTTTCTATTTTTTCGAAAAATGAATGTATATAAATTTGATGCTCACAGATATAGGAGTTTTCATGTTAACAGCAGAAGAAAGATATGCAAATACTCCAAAGGAAGTGATTTTTATTCTCTAATCTACAAAGAAGCAAGGGCCTGGTTCAGTTGTGGTCCAATAGCCTGTATTGCAAGGTCAAAATACACAGATAGTGTAAAAAGTTGCTTACACTGTCAAATTTATATAACTTAATCCATTTTGCAGTTATATAAGCACATGACTAGTTCGAAGAAGACAGGGTGATCAGAGAGCACAATACAATACAATGTATGTATGTATATATATAATATAAGAAAAGAAGAGTGAGCGGATCTGACCTGAGAAGGATGAGGATGGGGAAAAGCGGAATCGGCATAAGCGGAGGAGAGAGAAGAGTCCCGATGAGCGGCAGAGGCTTTAATAGCCTGAGCGGCAAGAGAAGAAGAAGAAGATAAGGAATCATCATCAGCGGGAGGCGGACGGAAAAAGCTCTCCTCCTTGAACGTTGACGACTTGCTCATCCCTTGCCTCCTTCTGTACGCCATCCTTATCGATCACTTCCTACTACTCCTATAACAAATACAATAACACCAAATTTTTTAGCATAGACGGAGGCTGACGCCACCAACAACCACCGATCAACTGCCACGGACACGGCAACCGCCACCGCCACCACCAAATTATCGCAGAAATGTCACGGAAGAGGGTGATGGAGAATTGGAGAGAGAGAGAGAATGAAAGAGAATGTGCGGGAAAGGAATCCAAGTCTGTAACCAACTCCTCCTTTTAAGTTGACATTATTTAATGCCTTTTTTTATTATTAATCCCACCGTCTCATAACTGGAAAGTCTTTTATTCTTTTTTTTTTTCTTTTCAGTTTTGCCCAATTTCCACTACAGCGCAAAATTGGCCCCATTACACAATTGTCACAAATTTAATTAGGTGAATTATAATTTGAAGTTACGTGTTGGTTAAACGTTGAATTTCTTAATAAGTTTTTTGTTTTCAGCTTTATTTAGCTATCTCCCTTAAAATATACGTATTTCAATAGTAATATAAAAAAGGGCGATGTGCACAAATAGCCACTAACAGCTCATGTCTTTATTTTAAAGCCAGTGTTTTAAATGTCTTTAGTCTTTAGCCACTGGTTTAATAAACTTTAACTGCCGGACGAAAATACCCTTATGCTCATGTCCTTAATTTCAGGACTTCAGGACTACATGTCCTTAACTTTTGAACTTGAAACTCTAAGTTCAGGACTTCAAGACTACATGTCCTTAACTTTTTAACCTGTAACTCTAAGTTCAGGACTTCAGGACTACATGTCCTTAACTTTTGAACTTGGAACTCTAAGTTCAGGACTTCAAGCTTACATGTCCTTAACTTTTGAACTTCGAACTCAAACTTCAAGACCAAGCGTCCTTAACTTTTGAACTTGTAAGTCAAAGTTAAGGACCTATTGTCCTTAACTTTTGAACGTGTAACTGTAAGTTAAGGACAGTCTGTCCTTAACTTTTGAACTTGTAAGTCAAAGTTAAGGACTTATTGTCCTTAACTTTTGAATGTGTAACTGTAAGTTAAGGACTGTCTGTCCTTAACTTTTGAACTTGGTAATCAAAGTTAAGGACCTATTGTCCTTAACTTTTGAACTTGAAAATCAAAGTTAAGGACCTATTGTCCTTAACATTTGAACTTGTAACTGTAAGTTAAGGACTGTCTGTCCTTAACTTTTGGGCTTCTTAGCCTAAGTTCAGGACCTATTGTCCTTAACTTTTAATTTATTTTAACACAAAATAAATTAAATGCAAACACACAATAAGGATAATAGCGTACAATTGTGTAATAAAATTAAAATTATATTATATTTAGTTACGTTTCGATGCTTTTTCAACTTTACGTTTTCGAACTCATTCAATGCGTTCTCCGAAGAATTCAAGTAAAAGTACATCGGTTGATCTTCTCGCGATTGCTTTGTTTTCTTGTTCTTTTTATAAAACGTGATTTAAACCCAAAAAAATACATTAAAAAAAGGGATTAATCGTGTAAAACAAATACAGAACTTCAGAGTCCAAATTCAATGCATCAGAATATATACTTAACATTTTTACACTACTGTCGATGATGAAGATGATTCTACTGGCAAGAAGAATGGCGTATACTTCAGGAAATTTAACACTAATATAATGATGTTGACCTTGTTGAATTAGAAATCGCCATTGCAAGTAGGCAGGTGATTTTCAAAGTTACAAGGCTTATCTATGAACACAGGCATGCATCGAACTGAGAGGGAGAGAAGCGTTTGGGAAGAAAAGCAATGGAAGAAAGGGTAACTCAGTCTTTTCATATTAATTTTAATAGACTAGTGGCTAGTTTTGCTCAGCATTAAAAATGGTGGATAAAAAGTAAATACCACTTTAAATAGTGGCTACCCCACACAATTTTTACTATAAAAAACACACTTATAATCTAAAAGTGAAAATTTTCATTTTAAAACGTCTCTTCCTCCATAATTTAACGTTGATGAAGACAACGTAAATTGCAAGAAGGGATGCGCTTAAATAATTTAAAAAAAATATTCAAAATTATAGATCTACATATATATAACTGTTCTTATTTTCACTTGTGCAGCAACTTTTACTCTGATATGCTTTTCCAAACTTGCTGGAGCAATGATCGCTAACTTGGAGAAGACCAAATATGAATGTTGCAAGTGGTGCTTTAAATACAAGTCCTGTTCAAGGTATTAATGTTGTCCATCCCACGCCATTTAGTACACTTTTTATTCCAAATAACTGTCTAATTTTTATTTCATGTTATCTCAATTTTGTTTTTATTTTTTGGTAATAAATTACCATAGCAACCAAAGCAATTTACAACCTAAAGAGCCTCTACTGTCCTTGGCCACCTTCTAGCAAGAGTACCTCAAACACTGGATCCCGGCTAGTTACATAATTTCTGAATTAACAATTGAATTTTACGAGCTCTCTTCGACTTACACAGTATACCTATTCTATCCTTGACCTCTTTTTTGAATCTGAGCAACTACAAAGTCTCTCCCCTCAGTACTTTCCTAAAAATCTTCCAGTTTCCTGCTTGCCAAGTGTAATATATCATGGAACCCCGTACTGAGGCAACTATTTCCTTCTGAAATTCCTTCCATCTTTTCCTTTTGATCCATTTGATCACCTTGTTAGGTGTTTGTCCAGATTTTCTTACCAAAATTGGTTTTCCTATCTCATGAAAGAAAGGACAACATTATTTACCATAATTGGGTTTTTCTTTTCCTAGAGGGAAAATATAGTTCTTCCATAATTGGCTAGTCTCTTTTCTTGTAGGAAAAAGATTTGGAGTTCTATAAATTGAAGATCCGTCCTTCTCATTCAGTAGCATCTACAATGTAGCCATATGGGTTTGAGAGTCGTGTTTAGGGGGAGAACTTTACGGGACAAGTGTATTGAGATATTGTTTTAATTATATGTGTAAACACTGTTAAGTATGTTAGTTAGCTTCTTTGTTTTGTCAGTTAGTGCCCTCACATGTGGCTCACGTGTAGTGTATATATGTATATCTTGTACAAATAACATTCTAGTTCAATTAATTCATTTTGCTCCCATCTTTCTCTCATTCTCTCTCTCCTTCAAGAAGCTTCTAGAATTCTACCATTGCAGCTCAAGCTTGAGCTCCACCATTGTTGTTCACTTCTCAATCTTCACATGGTATCAGAGCGAGGTATTCTACTCGCTATTCTCTTCAATTTCTTTCTCAATTTTGGATTCTAAAGATACAGTCACCGTCTCCATTTTTGCCCCAGTTTTCTCGATCCGACATTTTCCTCTTCTCGCTTCATTTTTTGACAAATTGACACTGTTTCTCATAGCTATCCTTGATCCAAATAATGAATCTGGAGTTGAATCGAGCGATTCTACTCCCGTCGCCGGCGCCGACTCTGGAGTCAATTTGAGTTGCCCTTTCTACATGCACCCGTCAGATAACCCTGGTACAATGTTAGTCACAGCTCCGTTCAACGGCATTGGCTACATATCCTGGAGGAGAAGTGTTCTTAGGGCTCTTTCAGTCAAAACTAAAATAGGATCTATTACTGGAGAGTACAAACGCCCAAACCTAGATTCCCCACGATTCCGTCAACGGGAGAGGTGCGATGATATGGTAACCTCTTGGATTTTGAATTCTCTGTGCAAAGATATTGCCGATAGTGTCGAATATGCTAGTAATGCCTTCGAGCTGTGGAGAGAGTTAGAGGACAGGTACCACCAGACCAATGGCACCAAATTATACCAAATCCAAAAGGAAACCAACGATTTAACTCAAGGTGTCCTTGATTTACTGGATATTATACGAAGATGAAGAAACTTTGGGAGGAATTGAACATGATAAATGCCAAATCACAGTGCACTTGCAAATGTACCTATGGGGCTAAAGTATGCACAAATCCGAGCAAGACAGAAGACTCATCCAATTTCTCATGGGATTGAACGAGGTATACACCACAGTGCGGGGCAGTATACTTATGATGAATCCCTTACCCTCCATGGCACAGGCCTTTTCTTTGCTCTTCAGGAGGAAAAGCAAAGAGAAGTGAAATCGTAGAGTCAGCGTGATGGAATCTGTTTCTCTAAATGCCAATGTTCCTACACACGGTGGCCTGAACAGGGCACCTATGCATAACAATAATTTCAGAACTAATTACTCTCCAAATAACTACTCCTCTACTAGTATACCTCGTCCTTTTTGTGACTACTGCAAGCATGCTAGTCATACCAAAGACAAATGCTTCAAGCTCCACGGTTATCCTCAAGACTTCAATCACAACCCTAAGTATAATAAAGGCAAGAGAACTGCAGCAAATGTACATAGCACTCCAGTTGGCACTTTTCCTGTGAATGGTGAGGAAATGCAGCCCTAAAGCAACAACTCTAATATCAGTCTTACTAAAGAGCAATATGGACAATTGGTGACTCTACTCTAGCATTTTCAGACTAGTTCTGCCGGAGATAACTCAGACAACAACACTAATGGTGGAAATGTGAATTTTGCAGGTATTTTAGCTTGCTCTGTATCTGTTCTCTCTGTTGATTTTTGACTGTTGTCATGTAAATGCTTTAAGTCAAGAGCTGACATTTGGATTTTAGATTCAGGGGTCTCTAATCATATGACCTTCAATAAATCCTTGCTTACTCACATTAAAACCTTAGTGTATCCAATGTTGATCACTTTACCAAACAGCTATAGAGTTAAAGTCACTGAAATTGGAACAACTACTCTTGCACCAAACATTATCTTGCATAGAGTCCTTTATGTCCCTTCTTTTAAATACAACCTTATTTCAATACATTCTTTAGCTTCTCAGTTCAAAGGTCTAGTAGCCTTTTCTAACTTTCTATGTCTACTGTAGGCCCCTTCAATGAAGAGGCATTTGGAGATTGGTAAGGTCAAGGATGGCTTGTACCTCTTGTGTTCAAGTTGTTTGAAGAACTCCTGCTCCACTTCATATGTCTCTTTGTCTCTTTCAGATTCTGCTTTGTCCAAGACCTCTGATGTAAATAGCTTGCACTGTTAACATTCTGATTCACCTATAAATGTTTCCACTTGCAATTCACACTCAATTGTAAATAGTTCCATTGGTAATAAAACTCAGTGCATTTCATCATATTTTTTCTTGTCTAATATGAATCAAGCTGACTTACTGTGGCATTATAGATTGGTACATGTCCCTTTTGTCAAGATAAGGGAGATATCCTCCATTCCTATTCAATTCTCAACTAAGCAACCTTTTCTCTGCTCTATTTGTCCCATGGCCAGGCAATCTAGACTTGCATTCCCCCATAGAACCAGTACCACAACTTCTCCTTTTGAGCTTCTTTATGTGGACCTCTGGGGACCCTACCATGTGGCCACTCATGACAACTATAAATACTTTCTCACCCTAGTAGATGACTATAGTAGGCCACCTGGGCCCACCTCTTGACCAATAAGAGCAATACATTGCAAGCTATCAAAGGGTTCATATCATTAGTTGAAACTCACTTCAAAACAAATATAAGGTACCTTAGGTCAGACAATGGGTCAGAGTTTGTCAATACAGAAACCTCATCCTTCTTTCAGTCAAAAGGGATTATTCATCAAAGAACATGTCCCTACACTCCTCAACAAAATGGGGTCGTAGAAAGAAAACATAGGTACCTTTTGGAAACTGCTAGGGCACTCCTCTTCCAGTCCAAATTACCCTTACAGTATTGGGGTGAGTGTGTATTGGCTGCCACTCATATTATCAACAGACTCCCCACTACTTATCTGAAAAACAAATGCCTAATTGAAGTCCTTTACAATAAAAAACCAACCTATTCCCACCTAAGAAGTTTTGGTTGCCTATGTTTTCCCACTATACCCAAGATTCATAGAGATAAATTTGAACCTAGAACTACTCCCCATGTCTTTGTGGGATATCCTTATGAGACAAAAGGGTACAAAGTTCTCAATTTGGCCACTAAGAAGATTCATGTTTCCAGGGATGTGACCTTTCATGAGCATATCTTCCCTTTTGCTATTGTCTCTGATTCCTCTTCTCACTTTCCTTCAGTTCTTGATTCTACCTTTCCTACACAGGATGTACCACTCACTGAGGCACATTCTGATATTCATACCTAATCTGATACTCATACTTCTCAACCATCAACAGGTACTGCTGATGTCTCCTCTATAGCCTCACCTGTAGACAACTCAGCTGTACATTCTCCTAGTAATCCATCACAAGTTATTCCTTCACCTTCACCATCTTTAACTGAAGTCAACCAAATACCCAGAAGATCTACTAGAGAACATCACCTACCGGTGCATTTGAAAGATTATGTATGTTCCATGCCTAACCTACACCCTGATACATATCCTGCAAATCACTATATGGCTTGAAACATGCCAGTTGACAGTGGTATGCTAAACTAGCTGAGGCTCTATGTTCCAAAGGATATGTTCACTCCCTTAAATGACTATTCTCTGTTTTACAAGAAGATCGAGTCCTCTGTTATCTTTGTTGCTGTTTATGTTGATGATGTAATCATCACAGGTAACAATTCAAAGGAAATTACTTTGTTGAATGCTTTTCTACATGCTCAGTTTAGGAACAAGGACTTGGGAGGATTACACTATTTCCTAGGCTTAGAAGTTCTGTATAGGGATGATGGTGCTATAATCTCCCAAAGGAAGTTTGCACTTGATCTACTGAAGGAGTATGAGTGCCTCCATTGTAGTACTTTCAGTTCACCATTGGATCCTAATGTTAAACTAAAAGCTAAGGAAGGTATCCCTCTAACAGATCCTTCTATCTATAGGACTCTGGTAGGTAAATTGAATTTCCTCACAAATCCGTGACTAGACATTGCATATAGTGTGCAACACCTTAGTCAATTCATGCAAGATCCCAGGGAACCTCAATTGAAGGCTGCTTACCATTTGCTTAGATACTTGAAGACTGATTCTACCCTTGGGGTTTTCATGTCTGCTAGTTCTGATTGTACTGTTAAAGGGTATTGTGATTCCGACTAGGCAGCTTGCCTAGATTCTAGGAAATCCGTTAGTGGATATCTGGTACTCCTTGGTGATAGTCCTATAAGCTGGAAGTCTAAGAAACAGGCCACCATATCCCTTTCCTCTGCTAAAGCCGAATATAGAGCCCTAAGAAATGTTGTGGGTGAACTTACTTGGTTGTGCAGGCTGTTTGATGAGCTGACAATCCATTTCCCTAAACCTATCCCAGTGTTCTATGATAGCCGATCAGCTCTACACATTGCCCGCAATCCTGTGTTTCATGAACGCACCAAACATATTGAGGTCAACTTTGTGAGAGACAAGCTACAAGAAGGACTAGTGTCTCTTCATCATGTTGGAACTGATTGTCAGCTAGATGATGTCCTAACCAAGGCCTTTACTGGAGTCAAGCATGCCACAGTTATGAGCAAGTTGGTAGTAACAACTTCACTTCCAACTTGAGGGGGGGGTATGAGATATTGTTTTAATTATATGTGTAAACATTGTTAAGTATGTTAGTTAGCTTCTTTGTTTTGTCAGTTAGTGCCCTCACATGTGGCTCACGTGTAGTGTATATACGTATATCTTGTACAGATAACATTTTAGTTCAATTAATTCATTTTTCTCCCATCTTTCTCTCATTCTCTCTCTCTCTCTCTCTCTCTCTCTCCTTCGAGAAGCTTCTAGAACTCCACCATTGGAGCTCAAGCTTGAGCTCCACCATTATTGTTCACTTCTCAATCTTCACAAAGTGTTAGTGCGTCACTTGTGTTTGCCTCTTTGTGAGGTTGTTCTCTTGATATTTTGTACTCTTTTTTTTTTTATTATAGTGGATTGATCATCTCCGCCGAGGACGTAGGTCAGTTGATCGAACCAAGTTAAATGTTTGTGTCTATTTTGGTAGATTTCTCTTTGTTGTGTGATTTATCGTCGTTCAAGATTTGCTTTGCTAGCTTCCGCATGACACCTGACTTTTTTTCGGTCCTAACACACCTGACTAGCTTTATTATCTTGTACCTTGATGTCCAGCCAAGTGCTCAGTTTGTCTCTTAGTTCTGAAATCCACTCACATTTGCCAAAGATATGTTTATGTGTCTCTACGTGTGCCTGATCACAGAGGCAACTTTGTTGATCATCTACAGGTATCATTAGTCGGGCTAATCTCTCCTTAGTTAGCAGTTTACTTTGACATGCTAACCGAACCACAATTCTTTGTTGAGGAAGCATAATTGAGCTCCACATTAGATCGGCTTCCCTTAGGCAAAGGCCTAGCGTGGCTTGCTATCTCAAAATTTGTCTACTTTTCAGGAATAACTTTTCTTTTTCCCCGCTGACTTACAAATCTGTTCTCGTCAATATACAATCAAAATAGCGTTTGGGAATCTACTTCAGATCAAAAGTATATACAGGTTCTTCAAAAAGTCAATTTTGTTTTCATTTTTGTACCCGCTTTCATTTGAATATACTAAATTTTTAGTAACAGCATTTAACTGAATAGGTCATCCCCTTATATGAAACTGCGATACTAGTTTGTCATGGTGACACTTTTCTTATATACTATCTGGCATAAATCATGAAATATGATCAGAATGATAGTAGCCATCCCATCTTTTTCTGAAGTTAATTTGACTTATTCATGAAGAATGATCAGAGGTAATCAAATTTTGGTCTCTGATCAATCATAAGACCAACCATTAAATAGTAACAGAAAAAGGAAAGATAGAGTGAGAGCCTTATTATAACATATGCAATGATTACGGGTCATTACAATACGATGTATGAGTTTAACATGATTGTATATCCAGCAACCAATATATTTGGGAGAAATTCACAGGCTTTGTGCAAGTTACTCAAAGCTGAAGTGCCAAGTCAGTGTCTACAGGAGCTAACGAACGATATGATGATTGATTGTTGTAAAGGAAAGATGGCATGGTCTGCAGAATGTTCGGTTTCTCCTGAAGAGACAGTGATTGATTCGCTTCCCTGCCCATCTTATAGTAACTTCCCTGACCATACAAGGACCTTTCCCTGTAATCTCTGTGCAATCTTGATGCCTCTGACATTTCATTTTGCCCTATTGGATTCATTTGATTTAGCTGAGCTTTCAAGAATGGCATATCAAAAATGAACCTGGAGCTCGTTCTTGCTGGAAATGGCACTACAGGCATTGTCTTGTTCAGTTCCAGCTTCAAAGATTGGCTAACTGGCCCAAGAAAACTGAGGTTGCTACCCGAGCTGCTGCCAACATTTTCGTTTTTATCACAAATGACTGCTTTCTTTTCAGTCTTTGATCGAAAGCTGTTTTTTTGGGTTTGATCTGGAATAGTCCCAGTTAAATTGGACTGAGCTGGAGAAGACTGTGCAATCTTGCTTTGTGATCGTGTGATGCGTGATGATGTGGAATTGGAATTCTTCTTGTTTCTCCACTTCAACTCAGATAGACTTGAATGAGATTGTTCTAGAGCTAGTACAACTGGCAGAACTTTGATTTCTTCCACCTTACTTCTGCCAATTTTCTTCATGGTTGAAGAATTTGTATCTCCTGATTTCCCATTAGTGCAGATATGAGAACTCAAGTTATTTTCTTTACTCTTGCCTCCATTTTGAGTTTTCTTGGCTGCTTCTTCTGTTACTTTATGAACATTCCTTTTGTAGCACAAAATTGTCTTCTCTGAATTTTCTGTACGAGGAAGGGGGCCTTTCTGACTGCTCATTCCACCTATTTTGCTAGTCTCGTCTTCCCTTGCAGCATTAGTCAGATCGATCTTATCACTGGTTCTTTTGAGCACTGAGCCAAATCCTCCGACCGGACTAGAGAGTTTCTGAGATGAAGTAAAAACTCCAGTATCAGATTGACTTTGTATGGTGGCAAAGGCAGCGAATCCTAAGCACGTTGGAGGCTGAACTCCATAGTTTGGACTTATATTTGTGTGAGAGGGAAGGAATGAATGGTTTCCTTGCAATTTCCTGTTGGCAACCATTTGTGCTGTTGGTCCTAAATCTTTGACAAATGACATCAAGCTCTCTCGGTAACTACCATTCCTGTTCTACAAATGACAAATTCAAGTATTATTGTAATGCACTTATATTTTTGTCATGTATGTTGTAGCTTAGTACAAAATACATGACAAAAAAATACACTCTCCAAATAAACTGCATGTCAGAGGGGCCAAAGTCTTTGATTTGGGCTCTAAAGGAAGCAGGCCGGAGAAAAGAACTTACAAGAATTAGTGACTGAGGATTCTTGTCACACATAAAAGAGTTGGTCTCATGGTAAGACGAAGGCCTGCAAGTTTCATATGTGGAACGACGACTAGCATCAAGAGAAGACAACCTTTGGCCATGTCTGTTACCTGTTTAAAGACAGTGAAGCAATAGGAATCAGAATTGTACTACTTGTCCAATTTGAGTACTTCTCAAGAGTATAATTTCCGCAGCCAACTCAACTCAAGCGTCTTACCTAATAAGAATGCACTGTCAATCGGAGCAACACCACTGGTTAACGAAGGTCCTTCTTTGCTGCTTCTCCTAAATGTTGATGAAACACTTTTGCCAAGTCCGATATTTTTGGAAGAATCATCAAGGGCACCATCTGGTATTACACCTCTAGAATGTTTTTCCTTGGCTTCATTTTTCAATCTCCTCATCGATCTTAGTCTGGTCCCCGGAAATTCCACTTCAAAGTTTCCGGGATTAGTTTTTAGAAGATGAAATACTTTCTTAGCTAGTTCATATATAGCACGAGCCTGTAAATCATTAGAATCTGTTGGTCCTCAAGATAATTCTAAAAATCAAAATTGTTTAAGGGTAATATCCTAATACCTGTCTGAAATAGACAGTACCAGAGGAGTTGAAATGCATCGCATTCTTTGAAATCAGAAATGCATCATGCTGCAGAATCATGAGTTTGAAAAGATGATTAAGTGACAAGCACAATAGTGTTCTGACTTCAAAACTGAGAGCTGCACATTTTCAAGCAGACCTCAAACTGTTCAAGATTCTGATACATTCCTTCGTGAAGTTTAGCCCTCATTGTACCAAAATCCATAGGCTCTCTAATGATTTCATAGTAATTTTCCACCTTACAAGAAGCAGAAAATGTAATCAAATTTTACTCTGTAAGAAGACGTGATCGTGACCTTCAAGATGTGAAGTCATTCATAAAAAATCAAACCTCAGTGGGATCAACTGGTTCAGCAAATATTTCATGGGTATCCCTCCTAACATCAAATAAACCAACAAAGTATTACAATGTGAAATAACCATTTATGGTAGTACACTTAATGAATACTGACCTTTGCAGCACGTCCAGAATGAGTTCTAGTATACGCTTTTCTGGCAACTTTGTTGGTTTACCTGTTAAAAATGGTAGAATCCAACAAAATTACATTGCAAGATCATTAAGGTTAGAGTATACATAAATTTTTCAATACAATAAGTAAATATTAATGTTAAATGCATAACACCAAAAAGACTTACTGGATGAATTTTCATGATGTGGCTCGCCCTCCTCCTGCAAAAACATTTAAATGAGAGTAAGTAAAAGTTTAATTACATAGTGAAACATCCACAATGGTAAACCTAACCTCAGCAACACCCTTGTGTTTAGTTGAAACAGAAATACAAATATCTCCAACATCATGGAACTTTCTCTTGATACTTGCCCTTGTGCAGGAATCAGAATGAGAATGATCCTTCTTCTTTTTCCACCTTTGCATTTTCCTAAAAAAAATTCATTATTACTATACCATATCACTTGTTACTTACTCAGAATTTAGAACGCGACCTGCATGATTGATATAAACATTAAGCAAAAGAAATATATGCATGCAAATTAGGCAACTTAATGAATACTGCTCTAAATCTGGATAAAAAGGATTTTGAATGATTGATCATTGGGTGTTACATGTTAATTGCCTGTAGCAGTTATGACTAATATTAGGATCTCCCAAAGGAGAAAGGAGTTGAAACAGAAACGCAGGCTTATTGAATGAAAATCAGGTGAAATATATCAAGTAAAATCTCGTTTATTATACATGAGTAAGTGTCAATTTGCTAATAATGCATTACTACAGTTGGAGAGATCATTTATATTTAAATTTCTTTATGATACATTACTATAGTTGGAGAGATTTAATTATATTAATTGTATATTGCTACTCTTAAGTAGAACCAGATCTGCAATAAAGCAGCAACTGTATACCTAAGGCTACTAATTACTTTCCAAATTACAGCAATGGTTCAATATTTATCGATGTATGTCAGTTATATGCAGCTTTACGTTGGGGTTCTTTAAACGTAACTGTTCCATTTCAATCAAATGAGTTTATTTCTTCTTTTACTAGTCATTGGAATTCTCTGTAACATGCTCATTTATATCCCTTTACCAAGTAAAATTTCACTATGTATTTATTCTCAAGATTATTTACCAGAAAAAGAAATGTGGGATAAGAAAACATGGCCCTACATTTTAAGATCATGATCAAGGTCAAGGCTACCGAGTTTACAAACTTGACTTGTCGACCATCATAAATGTTTTATTGGAAAACTAGAGCTGAGCTAAACTTGGATGCTCTTTTCCTTGTTCCATTAGAATTGGTAATATCTTGCTTCATAAGAAAATAGAAAGCTTTTGAAACCAAAGGGGAATTTCCTGACAATTTGTAAAGGAGCGGTCGGTCATTTTGTGTATTTGAGTCCCGTTCCCCTATTTGATGCTTCCCGTATGTGTATTTGTTGTTATGTGACTTGTAGAGATAGTTGTTTTGGTTTCGGGGAGGTTTCGAAGCTAATTGGAACACTTAGTTCCTAGGTTGAAAGCTTAAGTTGTAAGAGTTGACCGAGGGTTGACTTTTGTGTAAACGACTCCGGAACGGTGCTTTGAGGGTTTGGTAGGTTCATATGGTGATTTTGGACTCAGACGTATGTCCGGATTTAGATTCGAAGGTTCCTAGGTTGTTTTGGCTTGAATTGGCGAAAGTTAGAAATTTGAAAGTTTGGAAAAAAATTGAAAGTTTGGAAGGTTCATAGGTTTGACCGGGAGTTGGGTTTGATAATATCGGGTTCGAATTTTAGTTCTGGGAGTTGGAATAGGCCTGTTGTGTCATTTTGGACTTGTATGTAAAATTTGAGGTCATTTCGAGTTGTTTAGTCATGTTCGACGTAAGATTTGAATTCGGAAATTTGGATTAGTTCATTAGTTTGGATTGAGGTGCGATTCGTAGTTTTGATGTTATTTTGTATGATTGGAGGCCACGAGTAGGTCCATGTTAAGTTGTAGGACTGGTTGATGCGATTGGACGGGGTCCCTAGGGGCCTTGGGTGTGTTTCAAATAGGTTTCAGACCATTTTCCTTTGTTTTGGACTGCTGAATTTGTGATGTCTCGTGACAAGGCAGTCGCATTCACAAAGGGTTAGTGTGAGCTGGGCAATCACCCTTCATCGCGTTCACGGTTGGGCGCCGCGTTCGCGAAGCAGCTGGAAGCTAGGAGTATTTGGCCTATGCGTTTACAAGGTTTAGGTCGCGTTCTTACGGATGAGTTCTTTATCGCGAGTGTATGGAAGCGAACACGAAGGGTATTTGGAGGCTGTCGCCATTTTGTGTTTCGCGGACACGAGGCATAGGCCGCGTTCGCGAAGGGTATGCCTGGACAGACCCTTAAGTACTATATTTCGAGGGTTTTAGTCATTTTTTTTTATATTTTGAGATGAGAGCTCGGATTTGGGCGATTTTGAGAATTTTTACGATTTGGATTGGGGTAATTATTTTTTACTCGGATTATTTATATCCATGATTACAACCTTGATTTTAGCGTTTGATTGGTGAATTTTAGTAGAAAATTTAGGGATTTTGGTAAAAACTTTTCTAAATAAAATTTGAGGATTTGAACCCCGATTCGGAGTCGGAATTGGATGAAGCATGTATGGTTGGACTAGTATTCGAATAGGTATTTAGAATTTGTGACTTTTATCGGGTTCCAGGAGGCCATCTTGGGTTGACTTTTTGATAAAGATCGAAGTTTTGTTGTTAGAGATTGTTTCCTATGGCTTTTATTGGTGTTATTAAGTTATTTTGGCTATATTTGCCGTCCGGAGGTTGATTCACGCGGAAAAAAGATTTTCTAGAGTATTGATTTGTCTTGCTTGAGGTAAGTATCTTACCCATACTTAGTTGAGGCACTAGTTGCCTGAGTTATTAGTGATAACTACGTGTTATGGGTGGCACTCTTGTGAGGGGTTGAGCCTAGGGGTGTCAATGGTTCGGTTCGGCCGGTTATTTTATAAATTTTGTACCATACCAATTTTATTCTATTATGTATAACCAAAATTAGACTTTTCGAAATCGTCCCAATCATATCAGTTTCTCTTCCGTATCGGTACGGTTCGGTAAATTTTCGATAATTTTTTTAAATATCATGTAAAAGTCACTAGTAGAAGTAGAATGCAATACTTTTATATACTTAGCAAAACTCTCTAAGATACTTTTGCAGTTTAAAAGGTGATTAATTAAGAAAATATGAAAGATGGCTAGAGTATAGATCCATCAAATATTGTACAGCAGCGTAAATGAAACTAAGCAAATACAAAAAAAAAAGTATAAATCACACGAGTTGAAAGATGTTAACCAAGTTGGGATTCAAGAATAAAGTCTATAGAAGATTAAACATTTCAAAAAGATAAATCTAATTCATACAAAAGTAAATATACTCAATACGTTGTAGGTTGCTACTCCTAATCGCTACAATACCTAGTGTTTTGCTAGTAAATATGCTGAAAATAATTTAGTTTCAATAGAAGTAGCATAATGAGTTTGGGAATTAGGATTTTGAGTTTAATTACTTATTGGATTGTACTATTTCATAATTCCAAGGCCCAAGAAAAAATTTATTGCTTTATTATTTTTAAACTTAACATATAAATATATTTTTTACATTGTAAAATTTATTCGGTACGGTTCGATATTTTTTTAAGTTATTTTCATAAAATAAAAACCTGCCCTAATTATCGGTACAGTTATAGATTTACATAAAAACCTACGGTTTTATTAAAAGAAACCTAAAAGTCGGTTCGGTATAGTATGGTTCGGTCGGTTTAGTTGGTTTTTAAATATCCATTGACACCCCTAGTTGAGCCCATATGTGTGCACCAGGGTATTATCCATGCTCGGAGTAGTGCTTAGGCTATGATATGCCTTGAATTGATTGCTAAGCTTCATATTGTTATGTTTTTTATGTTTGTACCCCATTTGTAAGCTATTTGAGCCATGTTTGAGGTTACATATAAGTTAATCTGTTGATTGAACATGATAATTGCTACTTTCATGATGTAATTGCCCGATTTGAGCTATGGTATCACACTTCGCACATGCATACACCTTAGCATGTCACTTATACCGGTACAAAGAAATTTGACATCAATTATTCCAGTACATGTAATCTTGTATATCTACTTTTGGTGTGATGTGGATTCGACTGGTAGCACATGAGTTATTCGTGAGGTTGAGATACGATAGCACGTGAGTTGTCCGTGCAGTTGAGTTATGATAGCACGTGAGTTGTCCATGCAGATCCGAGATATGATAGCATGCGAGTTGTTCGTGCGGTTGTGATTATTGGCATATGAGTTGTTTGTGAGGTGGATATTATTGGCACGTGAGTTGTCCGTACGATTGAGATATAATAACACGTGATTGTCTGTGTAATTGATATATATAACACGTGAGTTGTCCGTGTATTATGCGGATATGGATCTATCCTCCTAGGGTCACCCTCTAATGTTTCTCTCTTCATGGTGTACGCACAGTATGAGAATAAATTGATTAGTCGTTTTGTTCGGTTATTGCATTTCTTCTCTAATTGCAATTTTTCTTGGTTGTATACTTATTTTATGAGCATATCTTCTCTATATGCTGGATTATGCTGGATTGTTAATTGATACAAAGTTTAGCATATTATCTCTTATATATCGAGATGACTTTATCTGTGCTTTCATGATTTGATGATATTATTGTTGTGTGCTTGTGGAAATTCATGAGCTGAGAAGGTAATTAGCGAGCAGCATTGATAATTCTTGCCGCTATTACCTCACGGAGGTTAATTATGGTACTTGCTAAGTACCTGGGGTCGGTGGTGCTCATACTACACTCTGCACTAAATTATGCAGATCCTGGTATTAGACCGAGCAGTGAGTTGTTGTAATTCTTGTTGTGCGTTTGCCGAGAGATGAGGTAGAGCTGCATTTTGACCGTAGTCTTTGACGTCTCTTACTATTTCGGTTGTTGTTATTGTCGATGCCCCCTTTTTCCTTAAAGGCGAAATCGGGTTTACGACATTTGGGCGGACAACTCTATTCCTTTTGGGAATTTGGGTTTTGGAGGTTGAAGAGTCGCCACCTAATGATTAAGTGCATTAGGACTCTAAAAGGGTTTTTTGAGTTGGAAAACCAGAGTTTGGGTAAGGGCTAAATCGGAATTGGGCTGGTCCGTTTGAGGTCGAAAACTGGGTAATTGGGGGAATTAATTGGGCTATAATTGAAACCAAAATAGGGCCAGATTTTAAATAGCCACTTTTTCCCTTTTTATTTTATGAAAAAAATAGGTAAATGATTTTGAAAGCAAATTAAAGGTACCGAATCAGTTAATAACATGTAAACATTAAATAAAAAAAAATATTGGAACCAATTTCATAATTATAAAATGCTATTAAATCTTAAAATAGGCTAAAATTGCAATCGTATGCAATTTAGCTTTTAAAATACCAGATAATTTTGTAAAAATGTATAAAAATT